TTGTGGCAAGGATCACTTTCTTGAGGATCAAGTCTCCTGGTTGGAAAGAACGGACTTTACCCTCGAGTTGTAGCACTTTGCCGCTTTATACTATGTGTTGCGGACCACAACCATCTTCCTTGCCTTCTCTACCAAGTCAGGGTTGATGCGGAGTCCTTCCTTGTTGGTGACGGGGTCGTGGTGTTGGACCCTTAGAGAGTGCACCCCAATTTCAACAGGAACGACAACCTCAGTTCCAAAAGCAAGAGAGAATAAAGTTTCTCCAGTTGGAGCTCTTGGTGTGGTGCGGTAGGCCCATAAAACACCTGGGAACTCGTCAACCCAAAAACCCTTCGCCTTGTCGAGCCTTGTCTTTAGGTTGCGTAGCACCGTTCTCACCTTAACTTCCGCTTGTCCGTTTGCCTACGGGTTTGTCGGGCTTGAATGAGGCTGCTTTATTTGAAGATCAGAGCAGAAGGAGTTCAAGAGTTTGTAGTCGAACTGTTTAGCTTTGTCGTTGACAATGGTGTGCGGCATCCCAAAGCGACAGATAAATTTTTTTCAAATGAAATCCTTTACCTTTACATCTGTTATCTTTGCTAAGGGTTTGGCCTCCGCTACCACCACGAACTTGCACTGTCCTTTACTGAGAGGTAGGGGGCCTAGGATGTCGATACCCTAGTTGGAGAAAGGCCATGGACTTGTGATGACCGTGACTTCCTCTGGTGGCTGCCTAGGCACAGTGGTGAAGCGCTGACACTTGTCGCACTTCTTAGCGAATTCCTAGGCGTCCCTCATCATGTTAGACCAGAAGTAGCCTTGTTTGAGCACCTTGTGGGCGAGTGAGCGTCCTCGAGAGTGATTTTCACAAACTCCTTCATGGATCTCCCGCATGGTATAGTCAACTTCTTCATGTGAGAGGCATCTTATGGCAAGGAGTAGCCTTTCTTGTACAGGGTGCCTTGTAGGACAGTAAACTTGGAGGCTCTCATCCTGAGCTTTCTGGCTTCTAGAGGATCCTCTGGTAACGCACCTTCTTANACCTTGTGGGCGAGTGAGCGTCCTCTAGAGTGATTTTCACAAACTCCTTCATGGATCTCCCGCATGGTATAGTCAGCTTCTTCATGTGAGAGGCATCTTATGGCAAGGAGTAGCCTTTCTTGTACAGGGTGCCTTGTAGGACAGTAAACTTGGAGGCTCTCATCCTGAGCGTTCTGGCTTCTAAAGGTTCCTCTGGTAACGCACCTTCTTGGAGGTATGCCCTTATTAGAGTCATCCAGTTTGACGCAGCTGATGCACAGTTGATTTTTTTAGCTTCCATGTCTAACTTGTTTGGTCTGAACTGGTAACCAATGAATGTTAGTCCTCCTGGTGGGGCTTCCAAGGATGAGGCGAGCCTGGTGAATGCATCAACAACCATGTTGTCTTCTCTCGGGATGTGATAGATCTAGAAGTATCAGAACTTTGTAATCAAGCTTTTACCATGCCAAGGTATTCCTGTATTTTGGCTCCTTTTACTTCAAACTCGCCCTTTACTTGATTAATAATTAGTTGAGAGTCACTGTAAGTGGTGAGGTATTGGGCTTCCATTTCAGCTGCCAATCTTAATCTAGAGAAGAAGACTTCATATTCTGCCTCATTGTTAGAAGCAGTAAAGTGGAGCTTCACTGTATACTTGAGAGGAGTACTATCGGGGCTGATCAAGAATAGGCCTGTTCCTCCTCCTTCGTTGGTCGAGGAATTATCTACATAGAGCTTCTAGAGTGGTAGAAATGAGGGCTCAGCGATTAAAGTGGGAGCCTAGATGCCAGACTGAGCGCTTAGGAGTGCTTGGGCACCTAAGGAGGAAGGTTGACTACCTGAGGAGGAGAGCTAGGCACCTAAGAATGAGGGCTGGGTGCCTGGAGAGGAGATTTGGGTGTCTGGGGTGGACAGCTGGACGCCAGAAGGGGTCTGGGTGCCAGGAGTGGCATGCGTGCCAGGAAAGGCCTGGGCACCAGGAGGGGCCTGGGAGCCAGGAAGGGCCTGGCAGTCAAGCTGGGCGCCAGGAAGGGCCTGGGCGCCTGTGCTATCCTGGTTATTGGTCTAGATGCCTCATTATTCTCATCAAGCATTCGGCTGTCCTCGTTGGGCGCTTGATTGCTTTGTGTGTCTAGGCGCAACATTTGAAGTTTGGAAAACTCATTGGTCTCTTCCTCTGCTGGTGTAAGCTCAGCAATAAAATATGTCAATGATTGTGCTTTGATGGCTNTTCTGGTGTAAGCTCAACAATAAAATATGTCAATGCTTGTGCTTTGATGGCCGCCCTTGGTTGGTATTGAATGTCGAACTCCCCAAATTCCACTGCCCATTTGAGGAGTCTCCCGGATACATCTGGTTTTTTCAAGACTCTCTTTAGAGGCTGATCTGTGATCATAACAACGGTGTGACTCTTAAAATAGTGTCGTAAATGCCTAGCTGTTGTGATGAGGGAAAGTGCTAGCTTCTCTAGCCCCAAATACCTGATTTCTGCTCTTCGGTAGGCTCTACTCACATAATAGACGGGCTTTTACACGTCATCATTGGTCCTGACGAGGACAGAGCTTACTGCCGAGGGAGAAGTAGCAAGGTATAGGTATAATATTTCTCCTGATACAGCATGTGACAAGAGATGAGTCTTAGCCAAATAGGCTTTGAGCCTTTTAAAGGTCTCCTTTGCCTCAGGTCCCCACTCGAAAGCCTTTCGGAGAATCTTGAAGAAAAACAAGCATTTGTCCGCAGACTTGAAAACAAACTTGTTGAGTGCTGCAATCCTCCCATTGAGGCGTTGGAGCTCCTTGGTCAAGGAAGGCGACTTCATATCTAAGATGATCTTGATCTTGTCCGGGTTCGCCTCAATTCCCCTTTGATTAACCATAAAACCAAGGAATTTTCCTGACCCAACGCCAAAGGGGCACTTATCCGGATTCAGCTTTATGCGGTACATCCTGAGAACATTGAAAATTTCTTGGANTTTTTTTTACCATGGTTGGTTGCCTTAATTTGCTCACGTCCATTGTGTATTCCAAATATAAGTTTCACATCACTTCTATGCAATCTCAATTCTTCTCCTCTAATTTGAAATCTACAGGATTTTTCATCGAAATATAATATCACTTTTAATACTTCATTATATGTTTTCCTACACCATTCTTTGTCTACCTTCTTATCTATTATTTTTGCAAACAATAACCACAAAGGTGTCTTCTGCAGGGCACGCTTGTGCTCGTCTCTAAACTCAACATCATCCATTGCCCTAACAATGACTTGCATGTTTGACTATTCACACTTCTTTTCTTTCTTTGTTCTCTTTATCTCTACTACAAAGGAAAAAAAAAACATAAATTTTTACTGTGTACCCGAATGACATCTCCACTATGAAGAACAAACCAACCTTTTCTCTTTCTCACAGTGAAAAATTCTTTTCCAAAATGTTTCAAAGATCTCACCCATAGTTCTTATTCACAGTGGAACCCTTGTTCCGCAACGATTTATGCTCTGTGTTATTCACAGTTGATGCCAACTTTTAGACTTCTTCACTGTGAAACCCTAAAAAAAAAAAATCAAATTTGTAGAGAGAATGTTGAGACAATGGTGGTTTTGCGAAAGTTATGTCATTCACGTTTGAATTTCAAAAAGTCTAGCGATAATGGTGGAAGCTTGCGTAATTGGTGTCTCTTCCCTTTCCTTTTAGAGGTGTCTTCAAATGTTTAGAAAACCGTTTAACTTCAACAAAAGGGGTATTTTAGACTTTCGTTATAGTATGTGGACTTTTTTACTGATATTTTTAAAATTGATACTTTTTAACTAATATTTCTAATAATATGTACCAGTCTCCTTGATTCCCTTATTTGTTAGGAAAAATAGGGGCTAGCACACAAAATACATATGTAGGGTTGGGTCATTGTGGACATTATAATGTGACATCAATATCCACTGTATATACACAACATATACAGATTTTGACAAATGAAAAGTATCATAGTGTAAGTCAAGGATCGGCACACTGTGGACATCACAATGTTGTATCAATGTCACACTACATATAGACACCATATACCTAGTTTGCACATGGATGGTATCACACTGTGACTTCAATGTAACAGTTCAAATACACATCATATAAATATTCAAAACCATAGGCAAAGGAGACTAAAGATGGAAGAAAGGACGAGTTTGAGAGAGAAAATAGAGAAAGAGTGAGAAAAATTAGGGAGAGAAAATAAAGAGAGAGAGATAGCAACAACAAGAATCAGATCAAGAGAGAGAATAGGAAATCTTTTTAAAAACTAATGGAATCCTTTCAAAAATCAAATAGTTAATTATCCTTTAATTTAGGAAACCACTTAACTAGTAAAATAGAATCAAAAAAATAAAGAAATGGCTAATAAGACTAAGAGTATTGTTTTCAAAATTTTAGTTGTTGAATAAAAGAGGAAGATTTAGTTCAAAATTCAAACGTGTTGTTCCACAAAAATAGAAATTGAATCTCACAATTAACTGGAAATTTTTTTTTACATAAATTAAATATTTAAAAAATAGCCAAAGTGTATCTATTCACAAAATATTTACACAAAAAAGACTTATACACAAAAAAATTATATTAAGATACTTTCTCACAAATAAGTAGTGTATAGTATACCTTTTCATAATTTTCCCTAAGAACCACAATTTCATCTACAATAAAACAAACACTACTGTTTTTCAATTCTTGATCATCACAAAAATGACATTTTCAAGACGATGCCAAATAGAACTCAAACAAAAATAAGGATGATATCAAATACTAATTTCTTTCTACGATTATTGTACCAAGAGAATGGCTAATGTGCTACATACTAACATTGCACAATCCAACCATTTCAATTCCCAAGTGGCTGAGTAATCAACTTTTATTCTGCTAACACAAGCGTTTTTCACAAAACAATTAAAACCACAGAGAGGGGAAGGAACAACAAACAAGAATAATCCCACCCTCAAATTTCACCTTCTCTTTTGAAGGTCTAATTGGTGCTTCCAAGAAATGGATAATCAGTGTAGCCAATAACAGGATCAGGTATGTAAAATGTCTCTCTATCGTACTTGTTCAGAGGAGCATTTAGCTCGAATCTCTTTGGCAAATCTGGGTTGGCCAAGAACAAACGACCATAAACAACAAGATCGGCACGGTTTTCAGCCACAGCTTTGATACCATCTTCCCTATTATAGCCCCCTGCGACAAGGAAAGTGCCATTAAATGCCTTTCTCATGGGCAGAAGACTGTGGGGGCTGTCGCTTTTTTCTCCAACAGTTACCATCCTTGGCTCAACCATGTGGCAGTAGAGAATACCATATTTATTCAATGATTCAGCCATATAAAGACCCAGGGCTTTAGGATTTGAATCTCCTGATTCACTGTAATTTGCAAAAGGAGAGAGCCTAATGCCAACTTTATCTGCTCCTATCTCATTACTGATAGCTTCAACAATTTCTAGAGCAAACCGACAACGGTTCTCCAGAGACCCTCCATACTCGTCAGTTCTGTCATTGACTTGATCTTTCATAAACTGGTCTATTAGGTAACCATGAGCCCCGTGGATTTCAACCCCATCAAAGCCTATAAATCAAACATAAAATATCAACTCATAAAACAAATGTCTTCCAATATGTATACAACATACACATATAAATGCTAGTGTGCCAAATAAATGAAGTAAAGAATGTAAAGCTCTGCTTGGTCTTTGTGAGAGAGGCATCGAGGTCACATTTTGATGAATATCAAGACCATGANAAAAGATCCATTGGAAAGAATCTTATATTCTGTCCAGAAAATCCCACAACTTCAAATTCTCAAGACNATTTTGTCTAGAAAAAGATCCATTGGAAAGAATCTTATATTCTGTCCAGAAAATCCCACAACTTCAAATTCTCAAGACTTCTAGTTACTTGGTCTCTATTATTACTTACTTCAAAACACCAATCATAGTTCCCTGTGGATTCGACTCCGGACTTAACCGGATTATTACTACAACTTGACCACATGCACTTGGGTGTACACATTTCGGATCAAGTCATAACCTTCGACCTTATGAATTTTTTTTAACTTTCTGAGGTTAGTTGGACTCAGATAATTGCAAGCCTTCCACAGATTTTTTATGTACCTTTTGAACAGTCCTTTGATGATGGTGAATTTTCCCTCAATTTCATCAACATCGACAAGATCTTGTTCTTTTTGATTTCTTATTTTGTTGGTCTCATCCTTTGTTGTCAACTTCATTAATGTCACATTTTTTTCCCCTCTTCTTCACACTATATTCGAGATCTTCTTCTCTTCTCCTTTTTCTTTCTTTTACTTTGATCTTCTTCACCATGGATGTTTGCCCTTTTGTTGGTGTCTATTGCTGAGTTGGAATCATTGTTGGAATGGAACTGTGTTAGTATTTTTAAGTAATGGCATGCACAGATAGTTTGTTTATTTGTTCAACCAGTGCATCATTTTTAGCTTCAAGTTGCTTAATTTTTTCCTTGGATGCTTGAATTTTAGCCTGAAAAGTTTCCTCTCTTTATTCATGTTGACAAGCATGTCTTGCATAGTCATTTTTAGTGTCATTCTCCATTGAAAGCTCCTTGCTCTTTTGTTTGTAGTCAATATCTTTCTTCTTGAGGTCCCCAGCAACTTTGAGTGCTTCATCTCTATCTTTGATGATTTCTTCTTTATCAAAATTTGATTTCTTGTCTTTGTTTGAAGCATTTATATCATACAATCCCTCACCATGCATTTGTTTTGACTCATAAACAACAACTTCAAGAAGAGATTGCAATGGTTGTCCTTCATTTGCATTGCCATAACTTATATCCAAGATCGCATCATTATCGTCAAGCNGACTCATAAACAACAACTTCAAGAAGAGATTGCAATGGTTGTCCTTCATTTGCATTGTCATCACTTATATCCAAGATCGCATCATTATCGTCAAGCAGTGTGTCGTCCTCCTGCCATGGAGTGTTTTCACCACTATCATGTACCTGCTCATGTGTTTCTTTTTTCCTTTTCATATTCCCCTTTTGCAACACTATCTGAATCACCCTTTCCATGTGGACCACCATCGGATTCAACCTTTCTATCTCTCTTTTTCCCATTAATTTTTAGCAATTTTTTCCTCCTTTGTCTTTTTCAAATTATGACAGATAACCTAGAAACAACATGAATTATGTCATATTGAAGTCACATAATTTTTTGACAAACCAATGATATTAATATTTTCAACAGCTTTGTTGGCAACATGTGAACCAACTTCACAAGATAAATGATACAGTGACATTTGTGTGACATTGCTATAGTATCAAATGTCACACCATGTTCAAATGAGAATAAATAGAAGCATTAGAAATGGACACATCAAATTGTAAAACCCAAATTCACACTTAACATCTTTTGACCCAAGTTTTTGCAGCTTCTTTTGTCTCACAGCTTTTTGAAGACTTTGTACATTCCATTTCAAGAATATTGGGCATACATTTGGCACCTCAGGTGTTATTAATGTTGTGTGTTCACAAAGCCAAAACTATATTTTTTTTTCTAGATTGTTAATTTAAATATGTAAATCATAAAATAATAACTACTGTAATTTATCAAATTCAAACAATTGACATACAAACTACTAACCAGTATCAATAGAACGCAACCAGTGATTGTTGTAGAGGTATCCACGTTTTTCCTCAATCATAAGATAAGTGCATCATGAATTGCACGACATCAATCATATTTTCTAATTTCATCTAAACTCTTGACGTATGAAAAATATCCCCACCAAGTGTGTTTCTTTTGCTTGTAAAGAAAGGGATACCAATAGGAGTTGACAAAACAATCTTGCAACGTCATCAAAATTTGTTAGAGTTATACCAACCACTGCATGTCTCAGTTTACTCTTTATCAACATTGAATTCAATATGTTGTCTTTTTTGAACCAGTATTTGACAAATGATGTTTTTTTTTACCATGGTTGGTTGCCTTAATTTGCTCACGTCCATTGTGTATTCCAAATATAAGTTTCACATCACTTCTATGCAATCTCAATTCTTCTCCTCTAATTTGAAATCTACAGGATTTTTCATCGAAATATAATATCACTTTTAATACTTCATTATATGTTTTCCTACACCATTCTTTGTCTACCTTCTTATCTATTATTTTTGCAAACAATAACCACAAAGGTGTCTTCTGCAGGGCACGCTTGTGCTCGTCTCTAAACTCAACATCATCCATTGCCCTAACAATGACTTGCATGTTTGACCGTTCACACTTCTTTTCTTTCTTTGTTCTCTTTATCTCTACTACAAAGGAAAAAAAAAACATAAATTTTTACTGTGTACCTGAATGACATCTCCACTATGAAGAACAAACCAGCCTTTTCTCCTTCTCATAGTGAAAAATTCTTTGCCAAAAATGTTTCAAGGATCTCGCCCATAGTTCTTCTTCACAGTGGAAACCTTGTTCCCCCAACGATTTATGCTCTGTGTTATTCACAGTTGATGTCAACTTTTAGACTTCTTCACTGTGAAACCCTAAAAAAAAAATCAAATTTGTAATGAGAATGTTGAGACAATGGTGGTTTTGCGAAAGTTATGTCATTCACGTTTGAATTTCAAAAAGTCTAGCGATAATGGTGGAAGCTTGCGTAACTGGTGTCTCTTCCCTTTCCTTTTAGAGGTGTCTTCAGATGTTTAGGAAACCGTTCAACTTCAACAAAAGGGGTATTTTAGACTTTCGTTATAGTATGTGGACTTTTTTACTGATATTTTTAAAATTGATACTTTTTAACTAATATTTCTAATAATATGTACCGGTCTCCTTGATTCCCTTATTTGTTAGGAAAAATAGGGGCCAGCACACAAAATACATATGTAGGGTTGGGTCATTGTGGGCATTATAATGTGACATCAATATCCACTGTATATACACAACATATACAGATTTTGACAAATGAAAAGTATCATAGTGTAAGTCAAGGATCGGCACACTGTGGACATCACAATGTTGTATCAATGTCACACTACATATAGACACCATATACTTGGTTTGCACATGGATGGTATCACACTGTGACTTCAATGTAACAGTTCAAATACACATCATATAAATATTCAAAAACATAGGCAAAGGAGACTAAAGATGGAAGAAAGGACGAGTTTGAGAGAGAAAATAGAGAAAGAGTGAGAAAAATTAGGGAGAGAAAATAAAGAGAGAGAGATAGCAACAACAAGAATCAGATCAAGAGAGAGAATAGGAAATCTTTTTAAAAACTAATGGAATCCTTTCAAAAATCAAATAGTTAATTATCCTTTAATTTAGGAAACCACTTAACTAGTAAAATAGAATCAAAAAAATAAAGAAATGGCTAATAAGACTAAGAGTATTGTTTTCAAAATTTTAGTTGTTGAATAAAAGAGGAAGATTTAGTTCAAAATTCAAACGTGTTGTTCCACAAAAATAGAAATTGAATCTCACAATTAACTGGAAATTTTTTTTTACATAAATTAAATATTTAAAAAATAGCCAAAGTGTATCTATTCACAAAATATTTACACAAAAAAGACTTATACACAAAAAAATTATATTAAGATACTTTCTCACAAATAAGTAGTGTATAGTATACCTTTTCATAATTTTCCCTAAGAACCACAATTTCATCTACAATAAAACAAACACTACTGTTTTTCAATTCTTGATCATCACAAAAATGACATTTTCAAGACGATGCCAAATAGAACTCAAACAAAAATAAGGATGATATCAAATACTAATTTCTTTCTACGATTATTGTACCAAGAGAATGGCTAATGTGCTACATACTAACATTGCACAATCCAACCATTTCAATTCCCAAGTGGCTGAGTAATCAACTTTTATTCTGCTAACACAAGCGTTTTTCACAAAACAATTAAAACCACAGAGAGGGGAAGGAACAACAAACAAGAATAATCCCACCCTCAAATTTCACCTTCTCTTTTGAAGGTCTAATTGGTGCTTCCAAGAAATGGATAATCAGTGTAGCCAATAACAGGATCAGGTATGTAAAATGTCTCTCTATCGTACTTGTTCAGAGGAGCATTTAGCTCGAATCTCTTTGGCAAATCTGGGTTGGCCAAGAACAAACGACCATAAACAACAAGATCGGCACGGTTTTCAGCCACAGCTTTGATACCATCTTCCCTATTATAGCCCCCTGCGACAAGGAAAGTGCCATTAAATGCCTTTCTCATGGGCAGAAGACTGTGGGGGCTGTCGCTTTTTTCTCCAACAGTTACCATCCTTGGCTCAACCATGTGGCAGTAGAGAATACCATATTTATTCAATGATTCAGCCATATAAAGACCCAGGGCTTTAGGATTTGAATCTCCTGATTCACTGTAATTTGCAAAAGGAGAGAGCCTAATGCCAACTTTATCTGCTCCTATCTCATTACTGATAGCTTCAACAATTTCTAGAGCAAACCGACAACGGTTCTCCAGAGACCCTCCATACTCGTCAGTTCTGTCATTGACTTGATCTTTCATAAACTGGTCTATTAGGTAACCATGAGCCCCGTGGATTTCAACCCCATCAAAGCCTATAAATCAAACATAAAATATCAACTCATAAAACAAATGCCTTCCAATATGTATACAACATACACATATAAATGCTAGTGTGCCAAATAAATGAAGTAAAGAATGTAAAGCTCTGCTTGGTCTTTGTGAGAGAGGCATCGAGGTCACATTTTGATGAATATCAAGACCATGAAATATGTAAAATATTATTGTGGATGAAGAACTATAATCTTCTCCAAACAGGCAAGCATATTTGTCCTTTTCCTAGGGAGATTTTGAAGGAAGTTTCCTAGGCTTTATAGATACTAGGACAACAACATTAAAATCATTCTAATAACACATTTTACCCTTATTTACCAGTCTTATTCAAACTAATAGTCTCTATGTTTACTTTTGGAAGAGTAAAATTTGTCCTACAAAAAATTCATTATCCAGTTTATTTTCCGTTGTNTTCCTTTCGGAAGAGTAAAATTTGTCCTACAAAAAATTCATTATCCGGTTTTTTTTTCCGTTGTCGAGGTCCATTGAGTATAAATCTAACATTTGGCATTATAGCACAAGCTGGCCGCACTGAGATATGTTAGTTTTGAGGATCTAATCACCAATTACAAAAATAAACAAAATATTGGCAAATTTCAAATAATGTGGCTGCTCTCCTTTACAGTTTTTCTCTTTCATCACTGTTACTTTGTCATCAAAAAGTTATCCTCCTTTTTTTCTGGGCACAATACACCCCATGAATGATGCTAAAACATAAAGTCTGAGTCATCATTAATGCTTAAGAAATGAAAAATTATTTAAACTAAAAATCACATCACACAATCATTATTTTCTTTGCTTTCCTCTCAGAGATGATAGATTTGTAACTTTTAAGCTATGCAATAGAAAAACTGAGAATAAGACCAATGGAAATGTACCCCTTAATATTTTTGGATCGATCATGGCCAACCTATAAATCATTTTTTTTTTCATTCAAAAGACCATTAAACAAATTCGAATTCAAACTTGTCAAATTACATATAAATAAATTTCACCAATTAATCAAAAAATCTACGATTTCAACTCAATTGCATCACATTCGTAAATCTAAACTTGAATTCAATTTCATCACATAATTATCAATTTAAAAACAAGATCATCAAATAATCCAACAAGTTTAGTTAAATTCATGTCCAATTTCATCAAATAGTAAAAACCATTTTGGGTAGATTCATAATAAAATAACCTAATCCACCAGCTAGCTCCGTCATTGTCAGGCAATCAAATCATTAAAAATAGGTGACTCAACAATGGACATTGA